AAGTATATTAAATTTTAGGAATGATAGAACATTAGACCTTGGCAAGAAAATATTTCCTAAATTCTGTTTCTCACTTAGGCCATCTCCAACCGAATACCCCATATTCAAACCCATTTTGCAGTACTTATCCCATTTTGCAGTAATTCATCTCCAACCGAAAAACCCATTATCCAACCCAAAAGAATATTCTCTTTTATATCAACTTTTATAACTTTTCAATACTACCCACATATTTTACAACTTTACAAATTAAACCACACTATTATTTTTAATTTAATTTAGACTTTATGTAATAAACTAATTATAAAGTAATAATCATATATATACATAATAAAATTGAAGAAATAAATAGTCATTAAAATTAAATTTTAAAAATTACAACACACAAAATATTAAAAATTACAACGCACAAGATGATAAATTAAAAATTACAACACACAAGATAAAATTAAAAAATTACAACGTACCAGATGAGAAATTAAAAATTACAACACACAAAATAAAATTAAAAATTACAACACACAACATGAGAAATTAAAAATTACAACAATCAAGTAAACATAGATAGTCTTTCAAATCTCGGAATTGGTGAATTCTTCCCACAGATGATCAATTAGTGCATTTCGAAGAGCAATGTGATCATCTTTATTTCTAATTCTTTTGTAACGAGATATGAATTCTTCAAATCGAGTACTTTCATCTACTGCCATTTCGACCTCCGGCGGCGGCGTTTCCATTTCAGTTTCAATTGGTGCACTTAGGTCACGTTCATCCTCGACAATCATGTTATGCAAAATTATACATGTGGTCATGATATCATGTAGCACTTCTTTTCGCCAATAACGTACTGGTCCTGCTACAATGCCAAAACGTGATTGAAGAACTCCAAATGCACGTTCAACGTCCTTTCTACATGCTTCTTGTTTCATTGCAAAATATCTTTTTTTCGGACCACGTGGCTCATGAATTGTTTGCACAATGGTAGACCATTTTGGATATATGCTATCAGCTAAATAATAACCCATGTTGTATTCTTTTCCTCGAATTATATAATTAGCTGGAGGAGCAATACCTTGGGTTAGATCCGAGAAAAGATGAGATGATTCTAGAACGTTGATATCGTTGTTGGAGCCCGGCAAACCAAAATAAGCATGCCATATCCATAGATCATAATCTGCTACAGCTTCAAGAATGATTGTGGGCTTTCCACTACGACCAGCATATTGGCCAGCCCACGCTGTAGGACAATTTTTCCACTTCCAATGCATGCAATCTAAACTCCCCAACATTCCTGGAAAACCACGTTGTTGACCAATATATAGAAGCCTGGAAATATCATCAGATGTGGGTCTCCGCAGGTATCGCTCGCCAAATACCTCAACTGTCGCTCGACAGAACTTTTTCATACTTTCAATTGCAGTAGACTCACCAATTTTGACATACTCGTCTGTAGCATCTGCTGGAACGCCGTATGCCAACAGACGAAAGACAACAGTTATTTTTTGTATTGGAGATAATCCAAGTCTGCCAACTCGATCCACTCGTTGTTGAAAGTAATGATCATGATCTTTGACTGCATCGACAATTCGAAGGAACAACGAGCGAGACATTCTGTATCTTCTACGAAACATGGTCTCGTTATACAATGGATTTTCTGAGAAATAATCATTGTATAACCTACGATCAGCAGCCTCTCGATCACAATTGATAACAATATGCCCAGGAACAGAACCTCCATGGGAGGCTTCTTGGTTTTGTTGATTGAGAAGGTGTTGAATGATGATGTTGTTATTAGCGATAACACGAGATATCACTGCTTGTTTTTGACGAAGAGCAGTCATAATTAGTATATGATCATCTTCAGAATCAGATGAAGAAGATGACGAATTGCCAAAATTAAAATTCATTATAGAAATGTGGGATTGAGAAATATGATAAGATGTTTGAAGAGATTAAAGTGTGTGAAGGATTTAGTATATGTCATGTTCTTATAGTAGTGAATTTGAAAGGGTGGTAAGCTTTGTAGTTAGTGGTCATTTTTAGGTTAAAACATTGATAGACATGACAGACTTTGCAGTGGGAGGTCCTTTTCGGGTCAAAGCATTGAGAGGTGTGGGGAACACTGCAGTGATATGTCATTTTCGAGTCAGAACATGGAGAAGCGTGATCACCTTTGCAGAGAGTTCTCATTTTCGGGTCAAAGCATTGAGAGGTGTGGGGAACATTGCAGTGATATGTCATTTTCGAGTCAGAACTTGGATAAGCGTGTCACCTTTGCAGAGAGTCTTTATTTTCGGGTCAAAGCATTGAGAAGTGTGGGGAACATTGCAGTGATATGTCATTTTCGAGTCAGAACTTGGAGAATCGTGTCACCTTTGCAGAGAGTCCTCATTTTCGGGTCAAAACATTGAGAGGTGTGGGGAACATTGCAGTGATATGTCATTTTCGAGTCAGAACATGGTGAATCGTGATCACCTTTGCAGAGAGTGCTCATTTTTGGGTCAAAGCATTGAGAGGTGTGGGGAACATTGCAGTGTTATGTCATTTTCGAGTCAGAATATGGAGAAACGTGTCACCTTTGCAGAGGGTGTTCATTTCGGGTTAAACCATTGAGGGGGGAGTGGCTCATTCACTATAAAAGAAGATATGATATTGTAGTGGCTACATCCCAACATTTTTATTCTATACACTAAACCTTTATCACATCTAACTTCTTGTAAGGATGTCTATCCGTTCATCATCCTACAACCACGATGAAGATATTCTTTTATGCCAAGTTTATATGGATATTTCTCAGGACCCAATTATTGGGGTATACCAATCATCTGACCGATTTTGGTCACGTATAGAAAAAGCTTTCAATGAACAAAGACTTGAGCATTGGGAGGTTCGTAGCCAGAGATCTATGCAAGCACGGATTCAAACGATCGAAAAAGCAGCCAAGAGACTCCATGCATGCATTAAAGCAGTAGAAGATATGCATCAAAGTGGTGCTTCAAATGAAGATACAGTGAGTATTAAAATCTTATTATATTTTTTACTTATTAAATTTATTATTTATGTTAGCTATGTTTGATTGTTTATGAAAAATTATAGATGCTCAAAGCGAAAGTGTTGTTCAAAGAAGATTCTAAATTCAAATCCGGATGGAAATACGACCATGTTTGGAATATTATTAAAAACTTTGAAAAATTTCAAGATGGAGCTTCGAGGAGCAAGAAAAAACAATCTGGTCGTTATCCATCTTCGGAGTCAGAAAATCCAACTCCCGAGTCTGCCGGACAAGAATCCCCAGGTATTTCTTCATTTTCTCTAAAATTAAGCGACTCGGATCAATTTGCTAGTGGTACTCCATCTGAAAGACCTATCGGGGTGAAGAAAGCTAAACTGAAAAGAAAGGTAAATGAAGATTCATCATCGCTCATCAATGCTATGAAGGAAGAAAACAAACGACTTGTTGAAGAGATGAAAAATACAAACGACCAAATAAAACATCAATTGGAATTACGCGACAAATCTCATGCTTTAAAAGAAATGAGAGAAGAAAATAAAATTCTGTTTCAAGATGTGAATTCCATAGCAGATCCTAGAGTTCGAGCATACGTTGAAGCTGAAAAAGCACGAATCTTGGAGAAAAGAGCACAACAAGCCCAATCAAATCCATTTCCAACCAATGCATTTGACCAATTTTTTAATGATCTTGGAGGAAGCGGTTCCAACTTACCAGATTACTAAATTGTCATGCTTGTTTTTTGGTTTCCGGTTTGGGTTTATGATGTATTTTTCTTTCTTTCTTTTTTGTGTGTGTTTGTTTTTTATTTATCATGGTTTAGGATGTATTTTTCCTTTTTTTTGTATGGTCGTTAATTTTCATGGTTTATGATGTATTTTTATTTTCCGTTGTTCTATGTTATCTTTCAATATTATAACTAATTTGGTAATATTAATGTCTTTTTTATTTGTTAAATTTGTAGTCTCTTTAAAATTAATATGGTTTGTAAATTTTTTTTTCTAAAAAAAACACTAACAATATATAATAAAAACGAATAAAACAATATTTAACTTAACATAAATTACTAAATATATATATATAATTACTACAATGTGTAAAATTTAACTTATTAAAGATAAACATAATTATTATATACAATATATATAATAGGTGGGGTATATTGGGATATTGTGATATTGTGAACAAATATAAAATAATATGATATTCATTATTTTATATCCATGAAATAAAAAAAAAATAGTATTTTGTAAACTTATTTTTTCAATTCATTTTATCTTAGCATTTTCAATTACAAATATTAAAAATTGGTTGAATTTATCAATTATTAAAGAGAGGGGTCAATTGAAAATAAAAACAAAATTGAAGGACTCAAATGAAATTAAAAAAGATGAAACGCATATTTTTGCTTTGGACGCAAAATTGCGTTGAACAGAGGAGAGAGAAGAGGGCAAACGCAAAATGGGATCGGATATGCAGTTCGGTTGGAGAGATTTGTACTGCAAATTTTGAGATTTGCAGTACGGTTGGAGACGGTCTTAGAAGTATACTTTTTTGTCTGTCCTACAAAAAGGGTGAAAGCCTCTACATTGATTACCAGCTAAATATACATCAACAAAACAATGGATCTATCTATATTTGGTTTATGCACTCAGGAGATATATTGAAAAATGTGAATAAAGTAAAACGAATGTATAATATATTTTTTTTCATTTGGTGGATGAGATAGTGATTTGAAATATATATTTACTATTTTATTTATAATAAGTAATAACCAAATCATCCATTCCTTAGAATACATTGTATGATTTATCTATATTTGGTTTATGCACTCAGGAGTTGTGAATTTGCTAAAAAAATAATTGGCCCAACTTAGAACTCAATATATAGATAAAGAAAAATATATAAATAAAAAATTAATGAGAGATATTTTCAACAAAAAGGAAATACAATAAACACAAATTCATAATAAAATAGAATATTTACTAATTGGGGTTCAACTAGATCAAGCTTTGGAGCCCTGGATCCACACATAACACTACGTACTAGTATATTAGGACAAATTGCACAGGTTAACCTACCAAATTTTGTTTTTTTGTTTTTTTTTAAAAAAAAAAAAACATCGTAAATATATGCAATTTACTTTTTCAGAAATGATAATCGAGCATATTACAAAAGCAGAACATACTTGTTACTTGTTCTTAAACATAGAGGATGCCAAAAGAACTCCGAGATTAAACCGAAACAGAGTTACAGTGCCAATAGTTAAAAAAAGAGAAGAAAACTTGAAACCACTTTATATCCAACGAGCACGTAACACATTTCAACCAAGTGTACCGCATAATTTTAGTCTGTGTTCTTCACATTTCCATCTGTTAATAGAAGAGAATCGGCAATCTCTTTCAGACCCTGCAAAAATATTGTATTTACGATCACATAAGATGGAGACAAACAAATTTAAAATAAAACGTCAGAAGTTCATCTCTGCAAAAAATAAAAAATAAAAAATCAGGAAGGTTTGGCAAGTAGAATTGGTGAATTCATGCTCTAAGTTAATCACAGAAAACTACTTGTTATTGTAATCATCAATAAAAGTGTGTAGGATTCGTCTCTTTCATATTGTTTAGTCTTTTTATCCAGATTCATAGCCAAGCAAAAACAGCAGAAAATTATAAAAGTATAGAAATCAGATGAGTACCATTATAGTTGGTGCCGAGTTTCCAGCAATTTTAAGTTGATCCTGCACAAGAACATTGACGATTTACACATAAATAACAAATTTAGATTTTTAAAGTTGGATTCTGTTAAAGAGAAAATCTTTCTTCCTGTCCATCTACGATGTGATGTTCGTAACATTTCATGCTTAACATAATTCTCTATGAAAAAAATAAAATCTAATAAGTTCTCCATTTGGCAATGCACCCTTAAGTCTAATTGACACTCATATCAGATATAAATAATAACTATGAATATACAAACAGAAATATAAGATATTGCCATCAGTATAGGCCATCTGTATAAGACAGGAGCACGACTCAGCGTCTTTCTTCTAACCCCACTGAAGTGCATCTAGTGACAACTAGATATTATAATTATTTCAAGAACTTTAACTGCATTTTAACCAGATATTGGTGATTGCTATAAATGATTTGCACATAGGAAAAAACAGGCAAACTAATGAAAACGATGACTTGATCTTTGAAGGTGAGGATTTGAGGCTCTTGTCAGTAAGGTTAGTGGTGCTGGAAAAATGACGGACACAAACATGCTCGTATGGTTTTTTTATTAAAGAATTATTCATGAAACAAGCATTAAAGACTTGAAAAGTAACTCAAATATAAATCATTAACAATAAAACAACGTCATTAAAGTTACAGAATCCTACATCAAGATCTCTAACAGAAGCAAATGATGAAACCATATAAATTTAGGCAGAGGTATGTAGCATATATTAGTTTCATGCAAGAATTAGGAAAACAAGAGAGATCAAATAATTCCGTACCTGAATTTTCTCCGGCATTTTGACCTTCCTTCCATTAACAATGCTACACAGGTACATTACCCCAGCATTTGCAAGCTCCTGCAGGAAAACCATTGTGGAATAATCGTATGTGCCAAGATTAACTTGAATATTAGAATATATTCAGCCCAAGATGCAGTTAAAGCTTGCTTAGTCAAGCATATAAAAAGCAGTGTTTGCATGAGGTGTGATTGACATATTTCAGTTCACATATAAGTAGTTCACCTGTTTGCCTTCTAAAGAGAGCAGCTTGCCATCCTGGAATCAAAGCGTAACATCAGATAAAGGAGCAGAAAAAAGGGGGAAGAAGGGATAAGAAGAGAGACATGTGCAAATACATCAGGCATGAATATAAAGATGATTAATCATCAAGCAAAATACAAAGCTACATCAGTAGCTGAGTCGAACTTATACTAACTACAAAAATGCTTTTACCCTTGAATTTTCCTACGTTTCAGGTTTGGTGGCTTTTAATGCATTTTTAGGTCAGTACTGCAGGACACTTTGAAAAAGAAGAAAGAAACCGTAGAAGAAAAAAAAAATTGGTTTAAATTTGAAGCAATTGCAGCCCCGTGCTCTTAAGTTGTGTTAGCATTCAGACACTAAGAGCATGTTTGTTTATGGAATTTTTCAAAAAAATTTCCAACATTTTAACTCAACCACTGTTTTTAACTCAACTTTAACTCAACCCAACAATCATCAAAATTATCAATATAATTAAATAATAGCAGTCAATCATTCATACACCACATCAACCTTAATTCACTATTCATCCACTCACACTATTTTAACTCACCATCACTTCAAATCTCTCTCTCCTACTTTTACATCAAATCAATTTTAATTATTTTATTTTAAATATTATTTTAATATACCTACTAACAACTAACCATACCACCTTTTTCAAAATTAACCAAACCAAATAAAAAAATCCAAACAAAACCAAAATTTTTTATAAACAAACATGCTCTAAATCAGCTGAAAAATCCTATTTAGTTGTTTATCAACTCAGTCTGATTAGAGACAGAATTTATTTAAAAAAAAAAAAAAACTAACAGGTGGAGAAACTATTGACAATGTAGGGAAAAAGGATGGTTTCATTGATTACGTTAACCAACATAACTAAAAACAAGCTAAGCAAAGCAAAGGCCAGCATGTAGTTTTCAATACAGATGTTGTATCATGTACATGCTTACAAATGATTACACAGCAGGTAATGTTGGATTGTGTAAGTCAAGGTTGTAAAAGTACGTGCAGTGTCTTTTCCAAATTATAAACTGACCAAACCAGAAACCAGCCTCTNCCCTTTAGGAACCTGTATCATGAAACAAGTAATTTTCATGTACCTCATTCCTAATTAACTTAGAAACTTCTACTTGCTCGTCCAGTTTCCCATCCAAGTTTTCAATTCTCTGAGTCAAGTGTCTTTTTGCCGCCTGAGGGAAAATCATACAGATATTCAAGCTTCAAAGGAATCTTATAAATAGAAGGACCACTCGGATGGCAATTAATATAAGATAGAAAATACATGAATAACAAAAGTTGTTAACTAAAACAACGAGGTAATCAGGTAAATAAATTGCACCTCTACTCGTTTTAGCCAAACATCATGAGACAGCTCTGGAAGCACTAACGTGCAAACCGCTGTCATTGCTTATGACAACATAATGTATACTTACAGCTAGAGCATCGGAGACATGATCCAGATGTTTTGTCAAGTTTGACACAGCATTAGCCATGTTGCGCTTTGTTACATACATCAGGTCCGAGAATGAAAGACCCTAACGATGAGAAAGATAAATCAGTTTCCTATTTGGTAGTAAGAAATACAATACTCAAATAAAACAACAAGATTGAAATAATCTATGGCAACCAGAAGAGTATAAAATGTATGCCTACCTTCCACCACATATATCCATAACCCAGGGCTCCTAAAGAAGCAGCCGGCACTATTAGAGATGTTAAGTTACCTGTGAAAGGAACCACTGGAGATGATAACTAAAGACAACTATAAACACCATATTCATTACACAAATGCTATATACTGACTTTGGCCAGAGTTCCCATTCAGAACAGTGATCTCCCTTGATGAAGCTAGCTGGCGAACCTCCATGGCTAGTCGGCGAACCTGCGAGAATAAACCAAATCAAATCTGTACAGAAAGATTTTTGTCAAGGACCCACAGAGCATTACACCTGAAATCCCCCCGTCCAGGATTCACACATTTGTTCATTAAATGTGTGTATGTGTGTTCGTGCTAAATATTCCGAGCAATGATCACACACACACACACACACACACACACACAAAAAAAAAGTAAAAAGAGAGATCCATACATTTTAGCTGACACTCAACGGAAATTGAGAAGATAATTTCTAACCCATAGCCACTTCTGCAGAAATTAAAATTCTCCAAGATCGAACATTATTTATGCATAGAAGCATCTCATAGTTCCCATAATACGACTTAAGCAAATTTTTAGTAGATACAAGAATTCAATAAAAGTATAAATGTATAATGATAAACATAGGTATCTCATTTCTTTGTAAGATGAGCTAAAGCACAATTCAACGTGATCAACTAAAACAAGCAAATAATTTCACCAAAGCACCAAAGATTAAACAATTACTTGCCATCAACACCGTGGTAGAAAGCTTATATAAGTCAACAAGAAGATACCTGGGCGGCAATGGCATCAGAATAACCAGATTCACCATCAGTCTCACCCGATTTCTCCATGCCTTTGACCAAACTCTGTCAAAAAAAATCCAACAAATACCGCAAATTCAATAACTTCTATCCGACATACAAAACATAACTTCCACATAATTATAGCGCGAGAACTTCAATTTGAGCAGGATTTTCCAAATAGCACATCAAGAAGAGCTCAAAATGATGCTGTCAAAATCAATAATATATACTGAAATTGCACGTATATGGGAAATTGTGCAAAGGAGAAAACACCCTATTACATAATTATCTCCACTTAGAACCTTAAATCATTAACCTCAAACGCACAAACAAAGCTACACTTCTGACTTGAGAAAAACGAGAGAAGCTGAATACCTGCAGCTCACCTAACACATCTGATAATTTCCCATTCTTCAACAGTATGGTCCCCGTATAACCTAATTAAATCAAAAAATCGCAGCAAAAAATTCAAAAGTCTCATACACAAAATTACACCTTAAAGAAAAGGAAAAAAAAAAAAAAAAGGAGGGTGCGAATCACTGATCCAAACAAGGAGTGCTAAATTCATAATAATACATAAATACCTGCTCCGAGTACAAGGATTATCCTCGATAATCCTATTCCAGCTTGCATGGCCATGGCTGACGATCAGTGGAAGTGAAGCCTCAGGCGACTTGTGAGTTACGAAGAGAGCTCTGAGTTTTCGTGTTTCACGAGTCATTGATCTAACGACGCAGACAGTAATTACTGGGCCGTGAGTCGGTTTGGAAATTGAAATGGGCCATTGGATTGAGATCAATATCATTAGCAGTGACCTTTATTCTATATTGAACGAAACTTGGGCAAAAGGCCCATTTCAATAATAACGGCAAAGCTTCACTACGAACTCACTCTTTTGTTTACAATCCGTGATTTTTTTATTTTTCTTGAAAACGATAGATTGATTAACTAAATACACATAATTACAATTGGTTCAATAACCGATATAATAGGACTGTTCAAGGCAGTCTATAAACCACAACACACGCTACAAACGAAAAAGAAAAATAAAAGACTCCCCACAGGATAATACACAAACTCCCCACAAAAGAATAACATAACTCCCCAAACGAGAATAACACGACAAAAACACTCCACAAATGGAGAAAAAAACACCAAACAACAACAAACACCATAAACAACAAAACACAACCGACAAAAACAACAGACCAACAAC